GTCAAGCAGTAATTCAAGCAATTCAAGACCCCCAGACCAACAGACAACAAATAATGAAGTGAATAGTGGACATTTGAAACCAACTTCAAGAAAACAACATCCAGGTCAAGATCAGATGGATACCAGCACATGAAGACATCTCAGAAAATGAAAAAGTGGATATCACAGCCAAGAAGGCTACTGGATGGAGACTGATCACAAATGTCAGAGATTGCAAGGTGCAGAAGAACACAAATCAAACTGCATCACAATTCAATGTTTGAACACCACTGAAGCTTCTCAAAACTAGACTCAGGATTCAAATGGAAGCAAAATGGAAAGAGATCTAGAAACAAGAGAAATGAAGATGTGATCTCTTCAGAATAGCTGAGGAACCTAGCAGGAAAATATCAAAGCTTCATACAAAACTGACCTGACCACTATCAAGTGTTCTAACTCAGCTATGCACAGCCAACATCAGACTATGACAATTTCTATTCTCAAGAAAAGCTTCAGAAGTTGAGGACAGAAGATGCAAATGTGAACAAGAGAATCAAACAATTTCACATGTTTTACTAAACTGCAACAGACATGTTAGCCTTCACAATGAACTTTGAAATGAAGAAAGAACTACAGATCTTTGAAGAATACTTACAGATCCAGACATAGCAGCCCAGGCTGCCAACTTCATGCTTAAAACTAAGCTTCTTGAGCAATTTGAGAGTGTACAGAGTTAAACTGTCAAGCAATGAGTTCTTAATTGTTTCAGATGCTCAACAGCCCTCACTGCAGCAATGCACATGAGCAAGATAAGAATTGTACAACAGTCACAAGGAAAAATCTAACTAACAACATGTTTCTTTCTTTCTACTATTTTTCTATGTCAAATTTTCAATTCTTTTGTAACCACCTGCATGTGATTTAAATGAAATCTTGTAATTAGCGACTGCATTGATTGTTTTGCTTATATTTTGAGTAGTTGAACAGATTAGGACTAGCTTATTCCCGCATAGCGGCCTTTGAGGCGGCTGGGTCAGTATATGAAGTAATCAAATCAAATCAATCAAATCAGACAGATCACCTACCGAGACAGGTCTTCACTACGCAACGCGTTTAACTACTTAATTGATCAAATGTCAAAATGTCAGCAATCAAAGATGATAATTCTTTATACAAGGAAGGAAGACTTACTCTAGCTATTGAAGCAGTTAAAAAAGGTCAAATTTCTAGTTCTAGAGCTGCTGCCAGATTGTACAACATCTCTCATTTCACTCTTTGCCATCAACTTCACAGCCGTACAACGTGAGAGAGCTCTCAGTTAAGAAATTGAAAACTGACCTCTATTGAGGAATTATCTCTTGTTCAGTGGATAATCTCCATGAATGAACATGGTCAGCCTCTCTGAGTGAGCACTGTATAAGAAACAGTCAATCTTTCTCTTGTCAATTGAGACAACTCTTTCAACTCAAAAACTATTGATGAAAGCTGGATTAAACAATTCATTGACTGCCATCCTGAGTTAAAAACTTAATTCTCTCAATCATATGATCATCAATGAGCTTTATGTGAAGATCCTAAGATTATTCAAGAATGGTTTGAGCTTGTACAGAATACTATCCAGAAATATGGTATTGTACAAAAGAATATATACAACTTTGATGAGACTGGGTTTCAGATGAGAGTTATTGAAACAGTCAAGATGATTACTGAGTCAGAGAAGACTCTTCATCTGAAGCTTGTACAGCTTGGAAATACAGAATGAGTCATCATTATTGAGGGAGTCAATTTAACAGACTAGTCATTATCTTTAATGATCATCCTCAAGGAGAAGTTACATCATACTTCTTGGTTTGAAAATGGGCTACCATACAACTAGAGGATTGAAACCAGTGAAAATGAATAGATAACTGGTAAGCTGGGTTTGATCTGGTTTAAAGAGATGTTCAATAAACATATTCAAGCTCATATGATCAGTTAATATTGACTCTTGATCCTTGATGGACATGGCAGTCATAATAATTTTGAGTTTGATTAGTTTTGCACTCAAAACTTGATTATTTCTCTTTATATGCCAGTTCATTCCTCTCATCTCTTACAGTCTTTAGATGTTGCTTGTTTTTCCCTATTGAAGCAAGCATACAGAAAAGAGATTGAAAAGAGAATAGAACTTGACATCAATCATATTAATAAGAATGAGTTTTTAACTATCTATTTTTCAGTTCATACAGCAGCTCTAAGTAAAAAGAATATTCAAAGTGGATTTAAAGCTACAGAACTAGCTTTATATAATTCAAAGTAGGTTCTTTCCCAGCTCAATACTCAGATACATATATCAATCTCTCCAGGGACCTCACATAGCTCCTAGGCCTTCTGGGCCACTGCTATACCTCATAATATATGACAACTGAAGCTCCAGAGTGAGAAGATTAAGTAATATCTCAAGCACTGTATACAGAGTTCACTCAGTTCAATCAATCAAGCTCTGGAAAAGCTAGTCAAGGGATATCAGATGGCTATACATAGTGCTGTTATTTTAACAAGAGAAAACAAAGAGCTGAAGACTGTAAATGTAAAGCAAAAGAGAAAGTGAAAAAAATATCATACATATATAAGCCAGGAAGAGGGCTTGACTATTCAAGAAGAGGTGAATTGTGTACAAAGAGGCATTGCAGAGAAAAGAAGAATAATAGAGCAGTCTGATAAGCAATCACAAAAGCAAGCAGCACCACAGTGCAGTAGATATGATGTTATAGAACATACTATTCATATATGCTCCCAGTGTACAGTGAATAATTTATAATATAATTAGCTGGTTTTACTATCTAGTTGTGATGATATTCAATTAGAAAGATATTGAATGATGAAGATCTGTCTCAGTAGATGATCTGTCTTGCTAGATGATTGATTATGTTAATATATCTTCATAGCTAATGTAATTTATTATCTAGTCAATCAGATCATCTAGTCAATCAGTCTTTCATTATTTAAAGTATTTCAGATTAAATTAAGTAACAATTATATACAGAGAGTAGTAAGTTATATTAAGAATTATTTTCTACATACTGAGAGTATATATGAGTAGTATGTTCAATAGTCTCATATATATTATACTATAATACTATGTGTTTTTATGATTGAAAGTCAGCAGCTTCAATCACTTTTCCTTCCTATTCATTAACTCTTTATATGCAATTTAACCCTTCTTCAACTCTTAAAACAGTCTCTTAAGCTATATATATATAGTCTCTTTTTTACTTTTTCTTTTATTTGATATTTTAAGCTCTTAATTTTCTATTTTCAGCTGTTAGAATAGCAATATTGTGTATTATCATTTGACATTCCTTGACCAGCTGACTTAAAGCACAATTGATTGAACTGAGTGAGCTTTATGTACAGTGCTTGATATATTCTTTAACTTCCTCAGTCTGCTGCTTTAATTGATGTATATTATGTGATGTAGCTGTCACTCAGAAGGCTTAGGAGCTGTGAGATATCTCTGAGAGAGTGAGGGTATGCATCATGATATTAAGCTATAAGAGAATCTGCTTAGAATCATATGAAATCAGCTCAGCAGCTCTAAAGCTGCTTTTGATGTTGCTCTCAGTCAGAGCCTGCATCTGAGCTGTAGAATAGAGACTTAGAAACTTCTTCTTGTCAATATAATTAATCTCAAGTCACATTTGATTTTCCATCTGCTGTCTGTACACAGTTTTCAGAGATGAGAAGCAGTCAACATTCAATGACTGAAAAAGATGAAAGAAATATGACAGTATATAGAGGATAATGATCTGATTCTTAGTGTAAAATTGATTAAATTCAGCTGACACATGACTTTGATATCAGTCTAAAATCAACAGTTGATATCTACTCTTCATACAGAGTAGAGTCTTCTTGTTGAACATTTCTTTCAATCAGTACAAGCTCAGCTGATCAGTGATTCAGTTATTTTCACTGACTTCAATCACTCAGTCATGTAATAGCTCTTCTGTCTCATATCAGCAGAATTGATACATCTTTTCTTTGAGAATAATCATTGTATGCAAGGCTCAGTCAGTTACATTGACTTTAGCAATAACAGTTACTCATTTCTGATCTTCAGACTGTACAAGCTTGAAATTCTCAGCTCTTTCAGATTCAATCATCACTCTGACAGTTTTAATTACACTCATTTGAAACTCTATCTCATTAAAGTTATAGATAACATCTTTCAAAATCTTATACTTTGCAATAGTGTTTTGTACAAGTTTAAATCACTTATGAATAATCTTAGAATTCTCACATAGAGCCTGCTGATGATCATACTTGCATGAGAACTTGAATTTCAGCTTATCATGATGCTTGACAAAGTTTCATACCTAGCATTCACTCACTATGAGTAGGGGATTAAATTCTCAACTAGCAAGAAAAAGATTGACAATTTCTTGTACAGCTGCAACTCAGAGAGACTGATCTCACTCATTCATGATCAGAATTTATTGAACAAGAGATTCTTCCTCTATAAGACTAAGTTTTCAGTTCTTTGAGAGTGTGTCAATACATGCTGTATAACCATATATGTGATGAGTTAAAGTTGCATAAGAGACTTCATATAGCTTTGCTGCAGCTCATACACTTGAAATTTGATCATTTTTAAGTGCTTGAATGGCTAAAAGAAGCCTTCCTTCCTGAGTAGAGGCTTTATTTCTTTGTGTGGTTGACATTTTTGATGCAGAGCATTTCTCATTGTACAGAGAGTGGGAAGTGGTTCGCTCACTTATATGGTTCACTCACTTATTGATTACGTTAAAAGTCTTTGCTTAGTTAATTTGTGTTGCTCTGACATCTCAGCCAGAGGAAGTTTAGGCGACACCGCCCTCGGCTAACCTTCTCTTTGTGGTCTCCTTTGGTTTTATCTTGCTTATTTTTCTTGATGTTACGTTTTCGCAGCTTCACCCAGGCAACCTGAGCTAATTTCACAACGCATTTGGGGCAAACCCTATAGACATCTGCTGAAATTATTGAGGTCTCCTCTCCTGGTGACCATGGGTGATCAGCGACTCGACGGTGACAGCTCTTCCCGTGCGAAAAAGAGGCAGAAGACCGAAACTGCGGACATGGACCCTCGTCAGAACAAGTACTTAGCCCACTGGTATGAGGATGAGAAGCCTTCAAACGGGCATTCCGCTGAAGGTTCCATCCTGGACGAGTTTGAGCGACACAAGACAACTGCTGCCATGGCCAGAGAAGCGGAGGATGCTGCAGTAAACCCCTTCAACGGAAAACCACTTTCAAACCGCTATTTTTCGATCTTGAAACAGCGAAGGGATCTGCCCGTTCATTCTCAGAGGTATGTTGTTCGGTTCCTTTTGTGTGGCATCTAGACGAGCTAATCGCGATATCTGTTGCAGAGATGAGTTCTTACAACTGTACCAGCAGTCGCAAATCCTCGTTTTCGTCGGTGAGACCGGTTCGGGAAAGACTACTCAGATCCCTCAGTTCGTTCTTTTCGACGATCTTCCGCATCAGCGCGGGAAACTGGTAGCATGTACTCAGCCCAGACGAGTTGCAGCTATGTCGGTTGCAGAGCGGGTTGCAGCTGAGATGGACGTTAAGCTTGGGGAGGAAGTCGGTTACAGCATTCGATTTGAGGACATGACTAGTCAAAAGACGATGCTGAAATATATGACGGATGGAATGTTATTGCGTGAAGCAATGCATGATCATGACCTGAAACGCTACAGCACTATTATCTTGGATGAGGCCCATGAGAGAACAATGGCCACTGATGTGCTCATGGGTTTGCTTAAGGAGGTGGTTCAACGTCGACCAGATCTTAAATTGATTATCATGTCAGCTACCCTGGATGCCCAGAAGTTCCAGCGATACTTTTGTGATGCGCCACTCCTCGCAGTCCCTGGGCGGACCCATCCTGTTGAAATATTTTATACCCCGGAGCCAGAGCAAGATTATGTGGAGGCGGCTATTCGAACAGTTTTGCAGATTCACGCCAACGAGCCTGAGGGTGATATCTTACTCTTCTTGACTGGTGAAGAGGAAATCGAAGACTCTGTGCGCAAGATATCTCTTGAGGTGGATGAGATGATTCGAGAGGCCGACGCAGGGCCCATGAAAGTTTATCCTCTCTATGGAAGTTTACCTCCCGGTCAACAGCAGCGGATTTTCGAACCTGCCCCGCCGCCCCGCAAGGAAGGAGGGCGACCCGGACGGAAGTGCATCGTGTCTACCAACATTGCGGAAACCTCTCTGACTATTGACGGTATCGTGTATGTTGTGGACCCTGGATTCTCCAAGCAGAAGGTATACAATCCACGCATCCGTGTTGAATCGTTGTTGGTATCACCAATCTCCAAAGCCTCAGCCCAGCAGCGTGCTGGTCGTGCCGGCCGTACGCGCCCTGGAAAATGTTTCAGACTATATACCGAAGAGGCGTTCAAGAAAGAACTCATTGAACAAACATATCCGGAAATTCTCCGCTCCAATCTATCGTCCACAGTATTGGACCTTAAAAAGCTTGGGATCGAGGATCTAGTCCACTTCGACCTTATGGATCCACCAGCCCCTGAAACTCTCATGCGAGCTTTGGAAGAACTAAACTATCTGGCTTGTTTGGATGACGATGGGAATCTTACTCCGCTAGGCCGTCTTGCATCTGAGTTCCCGTTGGACCCTGCGCTTGCAGTGATGTTAATCAGCTCACCGGAATTCTACTGTTCCAACGAGATCCTTTCAATTACCTCCTTGCTTTCAGTCCAACAAATCTTCGTTCGCCCGGCCTCCCAACGCAAGCGTGCTGATGAAATGAAGAACCTCTTCGCACACCCGGATGGCGATCACCTTACCCTCCTAAACGCGTATCACGCTTTCAAAAGTCCTGAAGCCCAAGCCAACCCACGCCAGTGGTGCCACGATCACTTCCTTTCCCTTCGAGCTCTACAGTCCGCAGATAACGTCCGCCAGCAGCTGCAGCGTATCATGGAACGTGAGGAGATCGAGCTTGTATCCACCCCATTCGAAGACAAGAAGTATTACGAAAATATTCGTCGCGCATTGGTTGCAGGCTTTTTTATGCAAGTCGCTAAGAAAGAGAGCCAGGGAAAGAATCTATATAGAACTGTCAAGGACAACAATGAGCCTGTTTTGTTGCATCCCAGCAGTGTCCTTGGACACGAAGCGGAATGGGTCCTGTACAATGAGTTTGTGCTTACAACAAAGAGCTATGTCCGAACAGTCACTGCCGTGAAGGGAGAGTGGCTCTTGGTAAGTTTGCCCGCCTTTCTTTATCTTAACTCTGGGCATGTTCCTTTGTCACGTCTCCTCCCATGTAATTCTTATCGATGATACTAATCCAGTCCGTTTACTCAGGATATTGCACCGATTTATTACGACATATCCAGCTTTCCCAAGGGTGAGATTCGCTCCGCGCTTATCCGTGCCATGGAACGTCTTTCTCGCAAGGAGAAGATGCGTGCTGACAAGGAGAGGAGGCACTAAAAACTTTGTGTGTAAAATTCTCATTCCAAGTGTTTCTTTTGTGCTACCTACATGCAGTGTTTGGTTAATATTAGTTGGTGATCTCCTGGCTACTTATTTCATCGTAATGGGTTAAAACAAAGAAGGGAAGAATCTTTAACGAAGGTTAAAATGCCTTTTTTTTAAAAAAGCGCCGGTGTTCTGATGTCCGTTACGATTTCTTTTTCAAGTTTCTGATCATGTTCTATTTTTTCATTTTTCAGTGGGGTTCTCTTCTCTGTTATTTTTCCTTCTCTAGACATATTAAACTTGTGAATGCCTTCTGTGTTTTTTCTCCCCATACAACCAGTTGATGGTCCTACCGCAGATAAAGAAATCTTTGAGAGAAATCGTTTCCCCTTTGCCCCCTAAGTAAAGTTCCCCACATTATTTTTCATAGGTGTAGTCTCTTCAGACAGTTGGTGATCCAGCATCATTGGGCGATTTCTTGTCTATAAAGGGTGCCGTTTTGTTATTTTTTTCAGGATGGTTAATCCTCCAGATGACTACAAGGATATTCCATGTATCACTAGGACGAGCAATCCAGGAAAAGGAGGAAATAGTTCTCATTTTGAAGAAATAGAAATTCAATTTACTCCGCAGTTATCTACCTATAATACATGTATAACGCATAACTATATAGCAGATAGAGATTCCTTTGTATATTCAACAGTGAATACGACATGAACGGCCTCTACTTCCTAGAACTAACCCCTGTTAGATGAATTGAGGTTTAAAAGCGATAAACCGTTCCGCAAAAGGGTAACATCAACAACATGAACCAAAAAAATAATAGAAAAGTCACATAACTGCTTGGGCGTTGTGACTGTACATCTAGCAGGAAAGGGAATCTCCGATAGAGAGGGCGATGGGCCGAGAAGTAGACCGGCTTGCACAAAGGAGGAGTTCCAGGTGGAAGGAATTTTGCGTGAAGAATTCAGAACCCAGGACGCCACAGAACACTGGTGTTCGAAGGACGATTTCGCTTCAGTCTTCATTTGAAGGGGGTAGATTCGCACAACTGCACATTTTCCCGGGCCACGTCTCGTAAGGAAATCCACGGTAAGGACCTCGAACTCCTGTACCATAACCGGCTGTCGCTAGTCCACAGTCCCTAGCAAAGGACATTCGTTATATGAAGTGCGCACATGTGGATGTTAGGAAAGAGAACCTCCAAGATGGAACTCCAACGGGCGGGATTTGTATTCGTAAGCACAATTCTATACGTCATTATTTCACGTACCATGCGAATCCCTAAAAACTATGGGATAAACGCCTTTGCAAAAAAAATCAATCCTTGTGGATATGTGGCAGTGGCAAAAATTCCAAGGGTTTCACAAATCAGAAGACCAAATCGGCACTTCTCCAGAGCTAAGCTCGTTCCTCAATTGGCAGCTCCGCAGCACGAATACGGAGTCCATATGCGTCCACTTCCCGCTGCAAGTCTCCAATAGTTTTCTGAGAGACCGCTAACGAATAGAATAACGATCCGCAAGCCTCCCCGAAGTACTCCTTCTTGACCGCTTGGGTTGGCTCTCTCGAAGCACGAATCTGAAATTCATATTCACGTAATTCCCGTTTTATGTCCATAATGGTTCTTTGAAAGACTCCCAACGAATGGAATAACGATCTACAATTTCCCTGGAAGTGATTTCTTCTTATCTCTTCAGCGGATGGTAAAGCTTCCATCCGTTCTTCGGAAGATTTCCTCAGAGAGAATCTCAGGACGGCTTTTTCACCATTTTTCTTGTCGGCTTTAGTATAGTAGACTGGAAAATGATTGGAGGAATCGGGCACCATTTGAGCTAGTTTCCCAGCTTCTTTTGTCTGGGAGGATCCTAGCTTATGGAGATCGGAACAGGAGCTGGCATGAGTGGATAGCTTTCCATTTTGTGCTTCAGAAACTTGACCTGCATGCCGCACATCGAGACTTCTCTCCTTTCTTTCATGCTCTAGCCGAAGATTACGTGTGAGGGCATGTTCACTATAATTAATTGACATCAGAATTGGTTGCTCAATTTGTTTGGCGAACTGATAACATCTTTCTCCCAGAGACATGTTAGTTGGAATGTCAGTTGGGGGAAGCTTAGCAGCCCTGATCCATTGACTCAATGCCTTCTTAACTGAAATCTGAACGTCTCTCTTGTTATAGCTCGGTCTCCAATCAATTCCAGCTTCCACAGCAGCCTTAACTATGGTTGCAGACAATGCATCCTTCCCGCAGCCATTGCAGAAAGCAACCATGTAGAGAATCAGGCGGTGAATCGTGTTTCCAAAATGTGCTTTTGTTGACATAATGAAAGCAACAGATCGGAGTAGGACGTACCCGCCTTTCCTCCAGTTTGACGATAACGTGTAAAATTTCAGGTAAGAACCCAAGACTTGAGCCCCATCGTTGTAGCCAGATTCGCGAAGGATATGGAAGTAGGCGTCGGCGTTCTGGGGTTGATTAAAACTCAGGGAGGCAGAGATGAGAGCATTCATTATAAACGGATGGCGGGGCTTTGGGGGAACTATCACTTGAACGTCTCCAACCCTGACAGTCTCCCATAACACGGGTATATTAACGGGGAAGCTGTCTCCTTGGAGTAGACGCAAGAATCCATCAAAACCGAAGAGATCCTTGGTCTTATTAAAAAAGTTTATCGCGGAAACGATGATGGGAGGGGTCATCCTGATCCTGTTTGGAAACAAAGAATCAATGACCATTTTCACAAGATCATTTTGCTTAGCTCGTGTAAATTGCGTAATCATAAGTTCGACGGTCTGCGGTAAAATCGGTTCGTCTGAAGCCAACAGATTTTCTGAGACAATCAGAAGAAGTTGTTGGAGGGATATAGCTTTTTCATCAAAGGACGCAAATGACTCCTGGAGGCTGTTGTGTAATTCCTGCCGTTCCTGCCGGAGCGCTGCTTGCTCTTGAACTGTAATATTTCTAACTATATCGTCGTATGATTCGTCCCTCCGAAACCTTAACCGAGTGATCCGTCTTTTAAGAAAGTGCAACTCGACTAGATAATCTTGAGTTCTAAATCTTGGAGGATCGAAGTGTTCTCCATAGTCTGCCACAACCTCTCCATAGGAATGAGCAATACTGGGACGAAGGAGCAACTTAATGGCGAGTTGTCGTATTGCTAAGAGCTGAATTGCCCTCTCTCGCAGCACATCTTCTCCTGCCAAATCATACTGTCGATAGAAACGCTCGTCTTCGTCAGTCAGTTCCCTCTTCTTAGCACACCCCGTTTCAAAACCGTCTGTGATCATGTCGGGACGATCCTTAAACGTGGATGGCTCCCGGTTTTCAAATGGCCCGCCCGAAAACGAGTTTCCATCCTGGAACCCCTCAAAGGACGTAGAATGCTGTCGAGAAGTGACGGCAGCCGTACTGTATTCTCGTCTCTGCAGTGGAAGGGTAAGCTGCCTCACTCTCCTCCGGGCAGCAATTTCATCCAATATCCGCGCTTCTTCAATCCGCAGTTCCTTCACCTCCTCTTTCACGGCTTCGATTTTCTTTTCCAATTCAGTACGCCGTTTAGTTTTCGCTTCAGCGTCAAATATCATGGCTGTTGCGAAAATAGTGGAGTAAAAGAGCGTAACGGAATTCCCGATGTAGAGCCGGCGCCGGCCGGCTGCCGTGGGTCCTTGTCCTGCAACAGCATTGGAGCCGCTGCGTAGACAAGAGACACACCGGCATGACCCTGTTGACAGGGCAGTTCGAGACCAAAGACCTTGCATTATCTCGGCATCATAAAGAGCGGAGGAATGATCGGGTTCGATTTCGAAGGGGAAGCGGATCGATTTAAGAGGTCTTCAGAGGTGGAATGAAGGGTCAACTAGACTTCTAAGTCATTGAAGATCGCCACTGTAAGCAGCATCAGAAATAGAAAGCAGAACAGGGCAAATTGAGGGGCATTGGAGACAGCGTTCGTGGGCAATGCACGGAAATTTATTTACCTTCTTCTTGCGATGAAGAAGTCGGGATAGAAAACGGGATTAGGCTGATGTTGGGTGGGATGAGGAGTGCAAACAGTGCAAACAAGCCGATGAACAACCAGAGAGTTAACTATTATTTGTACACAGACAAACCAAACACCTACATTTGGGCGGATCGTACAGATATACACTAGAAATATGATTGCGCTCTTGTTGACTTTCCTGGCAGTGTCACAGCTATGTCTGGCGCATGGCTCACGCTCAGATGATCTAAGCAACATCAAAGACTGGGCTACCCGGCATATGGTAGGTAAGTAGACATTTTTTACCTTTGTGACGTCCCGTCTCAAGCAATTTAGAGTATATGCTGACAGTGGAATTAACTCCAGAGGAACATCATATCTCCGATTTTGATGCTGGTTCCTTTTTCATGCTTCATGACTACGACAGCTCAGGGGCATGGACAATTGACGAAGTTCGCAGAACTTACGGGCTTGACGACGATTCGAATGCCAGCCTCTCGGAGCAGCGCAAGCAGGAGATTCTTAAGGAAATATTCACCATTTTTGACCCAAATCATACGGGAGTTATATCGCACAACGAATGGATGCTCCTGTCTCGTGAAGGAAAGAAGCTGCCGGACTTTGACACAGGCCCAGGGCATCATGGCGACTTGGAGTACGAATATGAAATACATCATTTCGAAAAGTATCACGGCGAAGGTGCGACAGAAGAGGACCTCACGCATCCCGAGGACATCGAGCACTTTCGACAACATGACCATGCAGAAAATGCTCAGGTTCAGCTCGACATAATGGAACAAATGGCCATCGTTGAAACTAATATACCAGCCAAGTTCCTCAAGAGCCCATCTGCATAGATGACTTCCTGATAGATGGCATATCTTCTATTATGCCCTGTTGCATATGTTGACTTTTCGCTTATTTCCTTTACCAAGGGCCTGATGATTTGCTTTTGTTTCATCATGTCCGCACCACATCATGTTTCAAGGAATACAACTGACCACGTTTGTGATCTTGTTTTGAGTGTTTGGTTTTTGTACTTTATTTTCCCATATAACCGTTTCTTTTTTTCTCTTTCTTCTTTTTTTATTTTTCCCATTGGTCTTACTTTTGATAGTTATACTTGGAATAGCGAGACAAGGGATAACGAACAGGGATCTGCTAATGGAAGTGTTAAATTTTGTCTTTATCCAACCAACCAGCTGAGGGTGGTATATAAATGTCAAAAACACAATGCATCACCCCTGGTGCGTACGTTTTAACTCTTTCCACATGAATACACTCCGCTGTAGAGATACCAGAATATGCCGACGATGATAGAAGCTTTCCATCTCCTCTAGTTGATATGAGCAGAGAATTGAACCCTTCAACAATCTGCGCTTCCATCATTTCAATATCATTCACGTTCACATTTTCATGGACATGAATCCAACCTCCCGCCTCCGTATCAAGGACTCTCGCAGCCCCCTCCCAAGCCCGCTTCGAACTCGGCAACAATCCGAGGCTAACATGTCGAATGCGTTTCCACCTTCCCTTCCGCTGCAGTGCCTCCTTCAAATCCCACATCACCTTGCCCGCAGACTGATTGTCGCCATGGAAAACCACTACACGATTTTCTTTTCTCAATCCCTCAACCAACACATCAATTCCTCCCTCCACCTCCCCTGTCTCCTTATCAATCTTCACCACTTTAACCCCCCATCCATTCTCCCGACAAGCCCTACACAGCCCTTCAATAGACCATCCATTAATCTCCCATCCCCACACCCTCCCAACTCCTCTCTTCAGGTACGAAAACACAAAATAGCCGATGCCAGCATACATATCAACAACCGCAACATCCTCGATTTTCTGACCCAGTAACCTCCTTCTCCCATTCCCTCCCTCTAGCTCATCCCCAACATCACCGTCATCTAGGCCCTCAAACCTCGACTCAATCCCCAGAATTCTCGCCTTCTCCACAACATTCCCACGACTAAACATAGAATGCAGCGGCGCCCAGATCTGCACGATGCCCCTGTTCTGCACCGAATGAACCCACAATGCAGAGCGGAGAGCTTCTTCTGTAGGATTGGCTTCCTTTTCTTCTTCATTCACCTCCCTGGTTGCAACATCTTCCCCGTCTCCAAAATCCCCATACAACGGCACCAACCCCGTTGGGCTCCGAATTCGATTCTCCATTTGAGTTTCGCTTCTCATAACCCCAGCCACCTTCGTCATCGTGGGCGCTATTGGTGCATTCATGGCGACGTGCGTGACGCCCATAGATGCAAATGATGCAGCTATACATGCATATAACTCCTGGCGCTGGTCGCTGGAGAGGGAATTGTAGAGCGCGGCCCATTCGGCTGGCGTGGAGAAAGCGTTTGAGGGGAGTAGGAGAAGAGGGGGGTAGACTGTGAATCTTTTGGGGAGGGGAAGTGATGATAACGGCTGCGATGAGAGGAAGCTTTGTTGTGTGTGACTATGGTTACGATAGTGGTTGTTGAGATAATTACGTATTCCTGTCTGTAAAGGGTGGGATACGTTCTTAGGCTTGGGCGGGCGGGATGAGGATTTGGGAAATCTTTTTGGGTGCGGGCTAGAGGGTGAACCATTTCTTCCATGGGATGTGATGCTGCCATCGTCATTGACGTCCATCTGCATTATATCGCTTTCATATGGCAAGTCCGCAATCTCCATCCCCCCTTGCAAGGTGTTTTTTCTTTTGCTTGATTAAGAATGGTTCAGGCACCTCATCTCTGTTTCTCAAATAGATATTAAAGTATCCGGGCGGGGAATACAGAGATTCTATATGTTGTTAACAAATAACCTACAACTTAGTTGTAGTTACAGCTTGTTGAAAATCATTCGTAGGCCGGGAAAACATACTTTGATCAATGCCAAGACGCAACTCCAGAGCAGCAAATTCCGCCACAGGAGAGCAAAGGAGATGGCAAGTTTAAAGCGAAGTGCGAATTACCAGATACAACTATGAAAGAACTAGCAGCCACAGCAAGGTGCAATTGCCATTACGTGCCATTGCATATATATATATATATATATATTGTGGATATCTATATCATATACAGATACGGCAGAGTCATAGTGGCAAATAAGAATATCAAACAAACACGGCGCAGAAAATAGCATGTATTAAAGGCCTGTCTTTTCCAATGTGAATAATCCATTCCTATTTCCTTTTTTCTTTCTAACTTTTAGGTTAACCCAAATTTCCCGTAAATCTCCGGATATTGCAGCGTGTGTTTGGCGTATTGCCAGATCCGTATAGCATGATCTCATTCTGTCATGCGAAGAAAAGCTCCAGAGGCTGCGAGGAGTGACAGAGGCACTCCCATTTACCAGTGACTATCCCCCTCTATACAAAATTCCCCTTCCGGAAGCGCCTCATCGCATCACTTTTGACAGGCTGGAAGACATAGCCAAATCGCCACATCAACTACAAGCATAGCCAGCACAATCGGTTGCAAGACCTGTACCCCTTTAACCTGGGCGATGGCCCCGACAAAAAATGGCAAGAGAGTGGCGCCAGATGCACCTAACGCAGCGGCGAATCCAATAGCGCTCACATGTAAATGTTTTGGAATTAACTTCGTCGCAGCAACAATGGCTGCCGGGAACAAGGGTCCTAGGAAAAACCCGAGCAAGGAAGCCATCACGGCGGAAACAACGAACTGTGGAATAAGCCAAAAGAGCAAGTCGAGGCCTACGGTAGCTAGAAGATACGCGGCCACAGCATGCTTTTCTGACCTGAACAATCGCGGAGTCACAAAGCCGAGGACCACTCGGCCTACCGTGAGGCCGGCCCAGAATCCCGTCGACGCCATACCGGATGCGAAATGTGACGCATGCCGAACGCGGACCATAAATGTGACGATCCACCCGCCCAGAGCGACTTCGATTCCAACGTAGGCAATCAGAAAAAATGAACAGATCCAGGTTACTTTATTCTTCGCAGCTTCAGCTGTGCGACTGGTGCCGAATATTTTGGTGAAGATGATATCCCTCATCCTGCGCTGGTGTTCTTCGTCCGATGTTGCGGTGTTCACGATTACCATGTCTGCACGCGGATGCTCTTCATGGTACTGATGTCCTGTTGCATTCCAGAAGGTTGCTCCTAGAAGCACAAGTTCCAAAAAGGCACCGCCAGCAACCAGGTAGTAGAACTCGTACCATTCCCAGTTTGCTTTTATGATAAGAGAGGTAGCCATCATTGGCGCTAGCAATGCCCCCAGACCATAGGAACCGTGCAACAAACCAAGCAGCTCATTTGCATTGGACATTGCGCCTACCCATGCATTCCATGCAGTATCTGCTAGACCGTTTCCGAAACCAGCAATGATGAAGGCAATGATCAGGACAGGGTATGGGGGGTGAAGGAAGACTATTATATAGGACACCAGATGGGAGATAGGGCCAAGGATAGCGGGCCCGCACTGTCCGAAGCGCATGTGCAGCGTATTGCTCAGCATGGCCGACGTTATATATCCTCCTAGGGGCGATAAAAAGACCAAGGATATGACAGTGTAGGAAACCTTATAATATTCTTCCAACTAATTGTAGAGCAAAGGTCAGACATATACATTCTCCTCTTCTTGGCCATGGCAATGGAGAAAATGGATCATAATCATACATAAGGTATAAGAGCCTTTTCTCGATTTTGGGATATGTCAACTAATGGTCACCGCAGAAGTGTTCTATGGTTCAATATCATATATGGAAGTCCATCCACGGCATTAACTTACACCATAGGCTGCATCATTAATTCCCAAGATGATAAAGCTAAAAGTGGTCGCTATAAATCGAAACAAGTTGCGTTTCGGATAGTTCCACCGTTGCAGGGAGTTGGTTGTTACCGAAGGCGAGCTGTCTTCAAACATATCACGCGGTGAATCGTTCGGGGAAGAACCGACATCCTCAGGCTGGTTTATAGATAGCGTCGTATGATTACTTTCGGTGCTCCCAGCTGGAGCTGGGGATTTGATATTCAACAACTCCGTGGTCATGGTTGAGCTTCCATTGGAGAGCTCACCGAATTCGTGACGTGGTTTTTAAGAACTTCGCTATTGGGAGCCGCCGGAAGGGGTAGGGCTGTCAAAAGTAATGAAAAGAAAAAGGGAATACCCCTTCAGAGCAAAACAATTATAAGCTGTAGGAGAAGATTAGGAGACGTCCGATATTGATGAACAAAAGGTCAGCCAAGGAATTTCCAGTATTTATATACGTTAAACTAAAACGAGAATCATCGCCTTGGACTAGCTATGGTCATATACCATGTCTCTGACGATCGATCCGAGCGAATAGTTCACCGCACACTAGGCGGGTTGTAACTCTTAGTCCTTTTTGCCCCTCTGGTCAAACAATGATGGGTAAAGCTCCACATCGGGGATCGGGAATTGCCACAATTCTCGCCCACTAGATTGGAGAATACCATCAAGTTCAGGAGGCTTGCTATCAGTGTTGGGGATGTGCCCGTCCCGTGTTTCGAGAGATCGAATGCCATTCCAGGCCAACAACAGACAGTGACGGAACAACTCAGATGGGGATAGTTACTGCGTTGAGAGCAGTAGCCATCAAGTCGACGTTAAGGTAGGTATGTTAAGGAGGGGTTTGTCTTGAAGACTCTTCTCTTAAGGCAGCTCATGGACCCGCGGGCCACCGACCATTCTGATACTGCTTAATCCTTGAACTCGGCGTATTTCGTGTAAATCTTCAACCCACGACGCCGTTTTCACCCGGCTGACATAACCGATTAACTAACTAACTAGTTAGGTTAATTATAGTAAATTAACTAGTTTAGTTAATAACCGTGCCACGCGCACTCACTACTACTAATGGGAGGTCAGGAGGGCGCGTCGCATGGGTAGTTAGTCATTTGCCGACATCAGCATTTCCTGGGTCCCAATGTCCCAATCCGGAATCCTCAACTTCATCCATTGAATGAGCGCCAAGTTGAGAGTTCAGTACTCTCTACGGAGTATCCGTTGTTGACGAGCCAGCAATTGGCCTGACGTGAACAGTTGTATTGGGTCGACGAGATCCTCTCATGGTTTATTATTGTCGTTTCTTAACTTAGAGGATGTGCAGAGACACTAACTATCCAATTGTCTTACCCGTGTAGTTCGAACTGGTCTTGTCCTCGGGGCTGAATAGCTGCTGCCATCCAGTGCTCATTATTGCTCACTGCTCAGTGGCTCGCGAAGGGGGGGCTTTTGCGGATCCCAAGCTGTTGATTGCACCAAAACAGAGTCACCCAGTTTCCTGGCTTGTTCAGTTAAAATTCAGCCCTGTAGTTTCCCTGTGACGGTGACGTGCATTTTCAGATTTCGGACCTTTTGGCATGCACGTTTCTTTCGGTGGCCTCATTCTCCTGTTTGAGTTTATCTCTTCATTCAAATAAGCCTGTTGTTAATGCCGACAATTTCACTATGCAAAATGGGGATATCTCATAACATATCGCGCAAAGGGTGTCTGAATTGCAGGAAAAGACTTGTGAAGGTGTGTTTCAGGCCTGTAAATTACATTGAGATACTTATTCGCCCCTACGTAGATAAGATATGCACAATGAGACGATATTATCTGCTCAAGTAACTCCCATCTGAACAGTGTGATGAACAGTTTGCCGTATGCGCCAACTGCATTGTGCAAACGACAGATTCCTCTTATCAATCTCCTTCAGAGGTAAGGGCAAAGGCTAGGAGGACGAAGGCGGCGACAGCGTTCGTGCGAATCTCCAGACATGAATCGTCCAGCGACTAAGAGAGGCCCCTTGCTCATCCCGCGACGTAATCGACTATAAGCCACTGTCGATGGAAATCTTGGGCCCCGACACCATTACCACTCTTCAGAAGCTTTTCATTGTGAGCCGCCAGATCCGTGTACCCGCCTCGAGATACACAGCTGTATTTGGTGGAGAGCCAATCCCCTCTTGCAAGAGAAGAATACCTAATAACTATTGCGCAAATCAAATATTGTTTTTGCGGTGGACGTATGCGAGCGTATCAAGGGTTACTTCTTGTCGTTGGTTGCCATCGGTGGTCGAGATTACATATCAGCTGTCAAGAATCGGGACCGATGGCATGGTTCATCCTTTTGTATTTTGGTGTTCTCTTAGATAGAGCGGGTCGAGACTACATGTGGTGGGTTGGATCAGCAGGGAGAGATCTCGTGGAGGAAGTCTCGGACATTCTGTTGTATTCTCCAATCGCCAAGATTCCAGAAGGACCAGCAGGTTGGCTTACCGCCTTTGGTGGCGACAGAGGCTGTCATTGATGAGGTGAACACATGCTGTTCAGTTTCTGAATTGTCTCTTGCATTCCCAGCTACAATTTGAAAACTTTTTGCTTTCATGTTTCCCCCGTTATTTTCTAGGAGGCGAGGCATTGGTACGGATAATTGAGTTTTCTACCCCTTATCAAGATTGGTTCATGTGGCTTGCAAAGAAATGGATGCCAGATTTATCTCTAGCTAACGAGAATATTGATTTAATTAACCCCTTAGCGAAGTTTGGAGAATGGCCCACCTAACTAAAGAATAGTAGTTAGCGAGAGTAGTAATGATTGGTTTTTGTATGCCTCAAAGTCTATCGTCTATAAAATATCCAAAAATAGAACAAAGTGGATATCTTTATGGAGTCGGTAAAAAAGACCCCGCTCAAAGTAGTTACATATAGTACAATGATATACATTATTTAAGAGAACCTGCCCGCATCTCTTGTATGCTTTACTTATTAGCGACCAACATCACCCTCCGGTCAACCCCCACGGTTGGACAATATAGTCCCGAAATTTAGACATGTCGTCATAAGCATCCCGCCTATGGCGTTTTGCCTTGGGTTCCTTATCACCCGAGTTTCCAAGACGTCATTCATATTCGCGTATGGATTGCCTTTGGGCTTGACACACCATTTACGGTTCAGAAAAGAGTTCCGTCTTCTAAATAGGCGGAGGCTTTTTCAAAGGTACAGCTTGACGGCTGGGCGATGGAGCCATGCTGAGTTGTTTGCGAATAGTTGTGGTTAGCGTGTCATTCCACCTTCCTGCCTCCCCTGTTTTTCGTTTTTTCACAGGATGGATTTATTGATATGGAACTTGTACTTACACCGTGTATATTTAAGTTCAAGCACCACGCTATCCCAATCGCAGCGCCGACATTCTTAGCAGAGACAAGAGGCGTGTGGTTCATTGTAGGTATTACCAAGGATAAGAAACGGATTCTTCGTTCAAACCTTCATGCCACTCATCGGGCTCTTTTCTTCCACAGCGCACATACCATGTTTAAGCTCACAGATGCGCTTCCTATCATCCTGCTTGTTTTGAATAGTTTGTTTACGACTGGGAGAACGTCATCGCAGGGGGATGTAAGTGGTACTCTGTCAAGACAGTGGATCCCGATTAACGATAGGATTGTTCGTAAAACCTCGTCATTTGATTGCCCTGGACCACAGGCATCTTGCAACAAGGTCGCTGGATCTGAGATGTTGCCTGGAAGAAGCGTGTAGATTGCCATGGTAAGGGCTGGCCAAAAGAATGGCCCGTAAAGGGAGGCCTGTATCCGCTCTCTTAAAGGTGGTATAATCTAGGACAAAGCCGCCCAAAGTGATGGGGCGGCATTTGGCAGTGTCCAGGAGATTCCATATATCTTTTTCAAGCTCAAGCTCAGCTGCTGTTGTGTTTCTACGGGTCAGCAGACAGCGCCCTGATTCTAACAGATAGTTGGAGAAGATAGCAGAGACAAGCTTGCCTGAATCGGTCCACTCTTTAAATCGCCAGGAATGGGGATTAGCTGGTGAGTATGGCAAGTCGGCTGAGAGTGATTTTGTTGCCGGAAACAAATACCATTGTTTCAAATCGTAGATACCCCTCTCCCCCGGGTGAACAATAAAAAGAGAAAGAAAGAAAGTCTTCCAGAGCTTTGCAAGGCTTAACTCGCGTATATATGGATTCGCACGGTCGTATCTGGGTGAGCTGCCTGTGTGCTTGGGAGAAGCAGATATCAAAGATCTCTTGTCCGTATCTACGGCCTGCTACCGATTCATCAAGATCCCAGCTAGCTTCTGAACAACGGAGGCAGTAAATTAAACTTCTGGGAGGGTTCCCGTAGGGTTGTTTAGTGAATAATTAAACCATGGATGCAATAGCGAGGCTCGAAATGCGTGAGCCACGATAGGGGTACAAACTTGGTGGTGCAATTAGAGGATTTTTGGCCTTTGCCGTCCTTGACCTTGAATACGCCGTATTATTCGGGGCTGAGTTGAAAAGTCCCTGTATTAGCAGGGGAAACTCCAGCAACTCATCCATGGATCAGTCGAGGATAGCCACACACGTCGCATGTATGATGTATCTAGTGATATCCATTATTATTGACATGGGTTATGACGGCACCCCTGTTTTTGATAAACTCCACACTGGATGCGCAAAGGGCCGCGGTGGGATTTGGGAGATGTAAAGTCATTTGTATCCGTTGTGATAGATAGCCAGGCATCCTCAATCACCCGGAGTCTGAGAACTGCATGCTGTGGATTTACCGCCATTCCATGGAAACTCAAACATCAACTATTTCCTTCAAATTTTAGTAATTAAGACAATATAAAGTCATGTCAAGTGGCAGATCACAATCTTCTATGTGCTCCGCATGGCTCACGGATGCAGGAAAAAGTAACATGCATGAATCCCAGGCAAGGTCCGATAATAGATAAATACATTAAGAATATGGTTATATGAAACTCGGGGAGGGGAGTGCGGAGTGCAGAGCGCGTGAAGTCGGGAAACGTGCATCAATCCAGTCAGTGAGAGTGAAATAATGGCATCGCAGGAGCCTGTAGCAAAACTCCTCCGTCGATCATACAGAGACGAGTGGATATAAAGCAACAACATCTCTTGCCCTTGGTTGGTGAATTCTTTTCCCTCACTTCATACGCTCGGATGCGATATCTGGAGAAATGAGATGATAATCGAGTGAGACGAAGACGACATGCACACCTAAAATAGAAAGACAGAAAAAGGAGCAGAGAGAAAGACTAACAGAAATTAGGAGAATTATATTAGACGTATTCGTCAATAATATTCCGCACTCAACCCTAGTTAGGTAATTGGATCCCATATGCCTACCCATTCCAGTGGCAAGACAGAACTCCAATGTCATAATATAAATCGTTGCTCGGTTTGTTCCTTTTCAACATTTCATCTCTTCCCCCCCTTTACAAATGACTGTTCGATGCATGCAAAGCAAAAACATATCCCCCAATGTTATCTTGGAGGAAGTAATATGTCCCAGGTTTTGATTTTTCTGGAAAGTCCGGGTGCGATACAGGGATCGTTTTCACCTGTGGATATGGACGGTTGCAACTCTGCCATGAACACATATAAGTGCGCCCAAAGAGTATATTCCTGAAAGTCATATATAACACAAGGAGATAGGAAAATAACTCGTTCTAAAAATAATCCATTCCAGAGGAGCCAAATTTGTCGCTAGAGTCGAGTACCCTGAAAGATAGCTCATCGTCAACAAAATGAAAAGCAAGTCATCGAATCATGCAAAAAATCAAAGGGTGAAGCTTACGAATACTGTTTTGTCAATGTCCCCTCCCCACCTTTCGATAAATCAACATTAAACACATAAAAATTACCATCACTCGTGACTACCATGACCTGCGGTGTGTTGCTGCTCATCGCAACTACGCTCCGGACAGGTCCAGCATTCGATCCCGGACCAGTATGCCCTGCAGTTTTCGGAAGCTTAATCCACGCAAAATCCCGTGCCGGTTCCCACATCTCCGCCACACCCTTGGGCAAATAACCACCAACGGTAGCCGCGAAGGAATTTCCGACATTTTGCGATGTTCGGCGGATCATACCCATCAATGTGCCGTTATGCTTTCGCGGACTAACGTCGCCACTATCAGCCTCTGCATGTGAATCCTCTCCACCTGAATAAGCGTAACTTTGGCTAAGCGCCCTTTCCCTGTTGAAGCTAGTGGGACTCCGGGGGCCGGTTCCCGTAGGGCAAGTTGGATTATCTTCTGCAGAACCCTGGTGTCTCAGTTTGAAAACATGGATAGTTTCAGTTGCGGAAGAGACGCAAAGCAGTGTGGATGTTATATTGAATGACATGCTAAAAATTCGAGATGGCATGGAGCCTCTTCGGAACTGATAGAGCTTCTGCCCTTCGGGGACAGAAAACACACGGATGATCGTTCCTTTGTCCGAAGCTGTAGCCAACAAAGTGCCTTCTGTATTCATTGCCAGGCAAGACAACGGAGATTTATGGGCCTCAACAACGTTAATTGCTTCGAGTTTCAGCGTGTCAAAAATAAGCACCTCACCGCTGGTGGGAGAGATGTGGGTATTACTAGGTGGCGCATGCGAAGGTGGTGTAAAAGATGAGGGAGGAGCCTTTTGCGGAAGAGGATAGGTGAGATAGCAGTTTTCGGATGAAGGGGAGAGCGCGCAGATGGCTTAATGAAGTTAGTGATTGATTTCTTTTTCTACCTGTTAGCAAGTTTTCAATTTCTCTCTACTCTTACATACCGTTTGGATTTGGTGACGTCTCAATCGTGTACAGAAGCTTCATAGTTTGGATATCGTATAGGTAAATCTGGTCCTCTAGGACAATAACTAGGCGCTTGCGGTTCAGACGCACGGCAAGGACGGTAGTTGGAAAGGTTAATTCGCATATTGTGGATTGTCGCTGATGGAACCGTTAGTACTCGAATTTAACTGACTTGGTGGTTCCGATAACTCTCGGAACTGGAGAAGCTGAAAATGAATCACGCACCTTTGTGTTTGTGATTTGTAGCCGCCGAGGAGAAAGGATCAGGGCAACAAGGGAGGTTGAAAAGAGCATTTCAAGAATAGCGATATTTCCTTCCTTTGTCTCATAGCTCTTGGCGAAGGGATCCGTGGTAAATATGCGGAAACCTTTCGTGGTACCTGCATATATATGCAACAAGACGTCAGAGATGGAGGCGGTGGTAGGGTAAAAGGAGACCACGGTATTAGGAGGAGAACCCACCAACAGCTAAGTAGCTGTAGTCCTGGTTGAAGGTGACGAAATTCATTGCCATCTTAGAGAAGCAGATAGCGTTGCTATCGGTCTAGAGGATGATTACACCGTATACCCTTGCCATTCAAAACGGGCACCGCATAAGTATCCTTCACTACCCGTAGTTGGCAGCCAGTGTCATGGACCCTCCCTTGGCTGAAAGACCAGAGTTTTAGCACATTCGCATCCCCATGCCATAGGCAGGAATGTTCCGGTTAAAAAGTGAAAAGGTCTCAGATATCAAGAAAACTGAGTCCGCTGCAGGGGCTAAAACACGGACAATAGACGACGAATGCGTAGATGATATTAGGGAGAGGGAGGCGAGCGTCGGTTGGCCTCTGGGTCGATATCACTGGGCAGTTGAAATTAGTTGATGGATATAGTTGAAGTCTCAGGCTGAAGAAGTGAGGTTACTCGAGCCAAGAAGCAAACGGTGCAAACACTGCGGAAAGACGCCTATGGGGTTAAACCAGCTAGTCCCAGTTGGGTCTAGTTCAACAAACTTGGTGGGGTTAGCGCTCGGACCACATATTATTTGACACACGTGACTGCGGAACCCTGATTTGACTTAATCGAAACATCAGAAGACTTTTAAGGAAAGGGAACAACGGGGAAGAAGACGCCGGCAATTCGTATTCCCTCGAGGGTGAGCTTTTGGCAACATGGCGCCACGGGGTACAAAGGCGGAAAAGGGGGCGACTCTTGTCATGGAGGTAGGTTGCTCTTTTGCGTAACTATTGCAAAAATAGAAGCCAATATTATAATATTAAAATTAAGTCTGACTGATATGTGATCTGATGCTTTAGACTAATAGTAGCAGTATAGTCTCAAAACGCAGCGTCGAGCGCCTTTACTACCCCGAGCCCCATTTTTACCGTCATTTTGTGAAGAAACCCCAGAGACGATCTCCGTTGATCAATCGTGGATACTGGCTGCGCATGCATGCCGTGGAAACTTCCGTGCGGAAGTTTCTCGAAGAGCCTTCCGAACTCCTGAAGGTGGTTGTGAACTTAGGCTGTGGGTTGTGAGTAGCTGAAGGAGAATCGGATTCCTCTAGCGGGAACTTCGAGAATTTTTTCGCACATGTGCTAATTGATTTTTGAGTGTAGTGATCCATTGCCCTTTCAATTCCTTAGCCGGGACCGCACCTTATGCCAGAATGTGAAATTCGTAGATGTTGACCACCATAAGCTGATGGTGAAGAAGCGGGATGTCATAAACCAATGCACTGCGTTAAGTGGCCTGCTTTCAGATGCTCAATTGCTCCCTGAATCTGGCAGTGTTCTTCTGCGAAGCAAAGAATACGTTGCTGCGGGATGTGATCTAGGGGATCTAAACAAGCTCGACGTCGCACTGAAGGATGCGATAGGGTTAACTGAGGTTTCTATCCTCTTCATAGCAGAAGTTTCATTAACTTATATGGAAGTTAGCTTAGCGGATGCGCTTATTCAGTTTCTTCCGAAACTAAGCAATGGTGAGAATCCCTTCAGTTTCTAATAATCCAGAATGCCTACGACTGACAGCTAAAAGACGTAAATTTCTGTTTACTCGAGCAGTATTTCCCAGATGGACCAAGCCACCCCTTTGCAGTTACAATGATGAAACATTTCCTAAAACTTCAAAGTCCATTACATTCAATCCACAGATACCCTTCCCTTGACCAGCAGGAAATGCGTTTTCGCGAGTCTGGCTGGACAACCACAAAATCAACGAATTTATGGGAGCTGTGGAGTGATCCAACATTTTTAACCGAAGAGCAACGATTGTCGCTCGATTCAGTTGAGGTATTTGATGAATGGGAAGAGTTCGCGCTCTTTGCGTCTCACTACTTCCTACTGTCTGCCTCCTCTCGAAACACGGCTACTGGATCAACACTGTTAAATGGAACTGAAGTACCTAATGTAGAGCCAATCCTTTTGACGCTGGCTCCGCTCTGCCCTCCAAAATTCTCCGGCCAACGACGCTTTGGCGCAATAGTGCCTACAACCGCTAAATCATTTGGATTACACGGCGGCCTGGGCCCCCAGACTCGACTTTCCTCGACTGATGAATATACCTCATCTAGAACTGGCACAGCGGCGACAGGGGAAATGCCACCGCTCATCAACATGGAGGCTCGAATGTGCCACACCATAACCCAATTTGATGGACATGATTGCTTGCTTGTAGGGGGCCGTGCTTCCCCGCGCGATGCTATGGCTGATTGTTGGATAAGACGGGCGGGGCAATGGCGTCGAACTGACAATTTGCCAACTCCTCGATACAGACACTGCGCAACCGCAGTGGATTTGGGAGAGGGGAATTCTCATGTTCTTATCTATGGTGGGAGAAGCACCTCTGGTGAGGTTTTGAATGATTTCCTTTTATGGAATGAGATGGAAGGTTGGCGGGCAGTTAATGTAACCAATCAGTCTCTCCCTGCTAGATTTGGTGCATCAATTGCCAATATCGATAGACAGTCCGGAATCTTGTTGGGCGGGATGACACGGGATGGAGTCGTATTGAATGACTTCTGGATATGGAAACTCACCACATCTAGCAGTGGAAATATACGCCTCGAGCTAAATAATCTCACGGAAAACCTTCTGGCGGGCAACCTTTTACATAAATGGCTAGGACGCTTTGGAGCATCAGTAACCACAACGGAAAGGGGAACTTTTATTATTGGCGGGATAGCAAAGCACAACTGCATCCCACAGGACTACGATATAATGCTTCTGAGTAACCATGTGCTGAAGGACATGACACTATCTCCCGATAGGTCATTTCTGACAGCAGTTGGACTGGGTTCCGAATTTAACCGACCCCGACCACTCCTGGTTGGTCATTCTTCCTGCGCAACTTGTGATGGTGACGTGCTCATCGTCGGCGGCGGCGCCGTCTGTTTCTCATTCGGAGTCCACTGGAATGAAGGCACTTGGCTATTGCAGAGTGCACGATCTGAGACCATGAACTCATGGACTCTCCATGAGCAAGCGGCAAGTCCCGAAGTCAACCCGCTTGAAGGAGTATCTGAAACAGCAGACGTTCATACAGCTGGAGGCACTACTGAGATGCAAACGATCCCTCGAGTCAGCATTTCGAGTGCAAGAGAGTTCCAAATAATCGTCGACAATGCTAAACCAGTTATTCTTAGTGACCTGAATATTGGGTCGTGTCGAACGGCTTGGACGAAGGAGTATCTTGAGAAAGCTATCGGGCGGGATCGCAAGGTAAATAAATATCTTAGCAACCTCCGCCAGCAATTAATCAACTGGTACTAACCGATTAAATGAAAATGGGCTAACAAGATTTTTTCGTTCAGGTGGTCGTCCACGAATCAAAATCGTCAAACATGAACTTCCAAACCAAGAACTTTGCATACGTCACCAAGGAATTCGGAACATTCCTCGATGAAGTTTACACTAACGAGTCCAAGCAATACCTCCGTTCCATATCTTCCACAAACCCTTCAGAACACCCAACAAACCTAGCACGCGATTTTCCTGGTCTTCAAAACGACTTCCACCTGCCCCCCGAGCTATCTCTAGTTTCAGAGAACGCGCACAGCTCTCCCCTCCGGATATCCGGCCCCGTTATCCTATGGCTGCACTATGACGTGAGTCCATATATCCCACCACCACAAACCCATTCGTTCCCGTAAAACCCCACCCTAACATCAACGTGCAGGTCCTTGCGAACGTCCTCTGCCAAATCCAAGGCCACAAACGCCTAATCCTCTACCCACCTGCCGACATAACACACCTCTCCTTCCCCCCCGGCTCCTCAAACTCCTCCATAACTCTCTTTAAAAACCTAACCGACACCACTCCGCTCTCCCCGCCAAATACCCACCCCTTCTCAGCCCTTCTCAAACCCGGAGACGTCCTCTTCATTCCCCCACTCTGGCTACATACGGCGAACCCAACGGATGGAGAAGTAAGCGTAGCCGTCAACGTATTCTTCCGTAACCTTGATAAGGGGTATGCGGCCGGTCGAGACGTGTATGGCAATCGAGATTTGCAAGCGTATGAGAGGGGGAGGGCCGAAGTGGAGAAAATTGCACGGGCATTTGATGGGGTTCCGCGCGATATGGCTAGGTTTTATATTGAGCGCCTTGCTGATGAGCTTCGGGGGAAGGCAAGGGGGTGAAGCACACACTCAACTATGCACTTGAGGAGTATATGTGTGTATGTACATCTTGTAAAGAGCGACGACGAGGTCATCTGCGAGGAGTAACAGTAGTCTAGCGATGATGAAGCATAGAGGATATGTGAGCTATTTGCAAAGACAAAAAAATAGCGGGCTACATTTCTAGTAGCAATCTCTCTTTGGCAACGCAACGGTTGAGACACATGCTCATGAAGCTCTCTGCCATTGCCGAACAGCAGGCAACAACAACAACAACAACAGACGAGGCTGAAGCTCCTCATCTGGCGCAGCCCGAGTAAACAAACAGAAGTTTGTCAACCGTATGGATTTAGGACAATGTTAACTACACCGTCCCGCGTTTCTTCCTTTCTCTCCGTGTAAAAAAAAATAAAATAAAATAAAATAAAATAAAACAATAAATTTTTTTTTTGAAAGGTACATTGTACAATTTGTACGTACCTAACCAACCGTATCTTGCCAATCCCATCCTTTCATTGAATCCCGATCGACCATGGATATTTCTCCCTGTTAGCCCTTTTTATCCAAGATCAACAGTTAAACTACATGGAGCATGCCTGTCCATCCAGCAGACGTTACTATAGTTGGCGGTGAAGTTGGTTCTCCAATGCAATCAATCTCATGAACTTTAAAGGGCGCTCTTCAATATTATCCATGTTGCTAACAACCAAGATAGGTAGTTAGTTATATAACTATGCATCATCATCAATTCCTCCTCAGCCCATTTCCCGACCTCTAGCAACCATCAAACTATATTCATATAAAAGTAATAAACATTTCCCCGGGTAACTAGCTCGTGTGTCCTAGACGGACATCCAGCCAATAGCAGTCCCCGGCGGCAGGGAGCGGGCAAGAGAGCCAAGAGAAGGTTGGGGATGAGGGGTGTCTGTGTAGTCTCTGCTGTGATTGGGCTGCTGAGTGGGCTGGGATCGGGCTGGTGGGCGGGGCCGGCCTATGGGACGGGGGGGTAAGTGGGGAAGAACGCACAAGGTCGCCCGACACCTTCGCTGCAAGCGTTTTGCTGGGTGGCACGGAACCCAGTTGGGCTTTGCAACGAGAACAACATCAAGGTCGGCATATGGTTGCATGCTTCGGTATGGTATGGTAAGTGATGACATCGCTACCCTGGTAGAACAGATCGCGGTATGTGTAACTTTGGTATTGCGGCGGTTAAGCTCTGGCTCCCGGGTAACTGATAAAGTATACTCCCCCCCCCCCACCTCACTCATTCCATGTATTAATATCACCACCTTCCCCTCCTCCTCCTCCGACACGGCCCCCCCTTTCCCCCCCGCCTTCCCTCCCTCCTCCCTCCTCTCCCCTCCCCCACTTCCTCTCCTGTCACTCTGCTGCTCTCCAGAGCTCTTTCCTCCGCCACGCGTCTCGTCTATCGTCTCTCGTCTCTCGTCTGTCGCCTGTCGCCTTATTCCTCGGGCTTCCTCTCCATCTTCATCGACATCTTCGTCTTGTTTTCCGCAACACCCTGCCATTCAGTTCTCTTATCGCACATTGTGCTTCCTTCTGTCGTCATAACTGCTGGACTGTACAGATCACACATTGTCCAATACCTACGCAACAATTGATACCTACCTCGAGTAAACAACCCCCATCTCGTCTTCCCCGCCGTCAATTCCATCCCCAAGCGGACTATTTATAATCCCGCTCGTCCCAGACCACGCGATCGCTTGCAGTCTTGTATCCATTGTGCATCACTGTTTGCTGACTTCTTGTGTTTTCCCCAGGTCTTCACCAAGACTCCTCCATGCTTGTTGAATTGAGTCTGATTTCAGATAAAAACAGTGCAATTTCGACAACCTCAGCAGATGTCAATCTATATATATCACCGGGGCTAGGTGGATCAAGTTTTGAACTCCCTCCAGACTCAGTATCCTGGCCCCATTAACTAGCTAGCTATTTGTCCGCTCGTTGGATAAGGGACAATCATATTTCCACACCCTTTACTTATTCAGTCCACCTGGCCCTTCCGAAGACGAAGACCATATTACATATCAAAAGAGCAATCACGCAGACGATGTAACCATCTTCTCTTAATTGATTGCGACACTCCATCTGTCGACACGGACAAATTTCAGACCGCCCGATCGCCACTCCTCCGCCAATCGACGAGATAGACCGCCCTTGAAACCACCATTCCCATCCGATCCCCCCCTCCACCTGAATCCCAACCATGGCTACCGTGGTGGTACAACAACCCGTGCGACATTCCTCCTCTTCACCCTCCATCGCTTCAGCACTTAGCCTCAGCGCCAATGCACCCCACACCCCGCACACTCACATCCAATCTCCAATCCCAGACAAACATATCCCTGTGTGCCCTCCCGGCCCGTCCCCATCAGCTTCAAAGATCCTGGCAACACCCCCTACTTCCCCCACACTCAGACACGTCGGCCCTCTCCAAAGCAACTGTATCCTGTACCCACCGGCCAGCTTCCCAAAACTCCTCGATGATCCGCCAGTCTACTCCATAGATGCGGATGCACTAGCCCTGGCATTGGATGAGCTCGCTGCCAGACCACTGCCAGACCCGAAACAAGTCTTCCCATGGCTGCACGGCCTACATCCGGATAATCACGTCCAACTTAGCTTTTTTGTTTCACGGCGGAGATCTCAGCGACGGATACCGCGATGCTTGCGTTCCATAGCTATCGTCAAGGTTGGTGGAGATCCGTCCAAGTCTAGGATTAAAGGAGCCATTTCACCGCAGGAGATTCTGGCGCCGTCTGGAACGACGTTTCTTGATGCGGACCCCCCTGAAGGCTTCTCTGTGCGGAATTTCCATATTCAAACGGCGAAATTAGCGCCGCTGTCCGATATCATCGTTTATGGCGATGGTGAGGCGGATGGGAAGGAGGTACTTGAAGTGGCGGGTAATATTGCCAAAGCTCAGAGGGAGTGGAGGAGGAAGTTTGATCCTGGTCAAGAGAATACTATGTTTAATACCTTTCTGCTGAAGAGTGAGTTGTTTCTTATATCATCTCATATCATCTCTCTCTCTCTCTCTCTCTCTCTCTCTCTCTCTCTCTCTCTCTGTGTGTGTGTGTGTGTGTGTGTGTGTGTGTGTATTTTGCTTTCTGGTTTTGGGGAGTTGTAAGATTAATAAGAAGAACTACAGGCTCATTTCGCGAAGTAGAGGAAAGATACCCTCGCTTGATTGCTGTAAATTCCGAAGGGCAACTTACTGGTCGAGTAATGGACTTCTGTAAGCAGTATGGAGATCATTATCACTTCTTTCATCTAACAAGTCGATCTAGTCCACTGGGAACGGTTAGAAATGGGCAGCATGGCCGCAGCCTCAGAAATTGCCACAAATGTCTGGCAAGGTCCCACTCCAGATACCAGCGACCGCCCCCTTGAGGAGCTAGAATTCGACATTCTCATCGAAACCCACGACGTCGCCAGCATCCCCAATCTCCGTTACCTATCACAAATATCAGCACAGCTGGAAAACAGCGGGAGCCCACAGCGACTAGAATTCCCATCATCAGGCAGTGTCCTCGCGTCCTGGAACCAGGTAGAAGTTTACGATCTCATCGACACGTGCAGATGGATATATCGCATGGCAAACCCCGAGCGGTCAACTGAAGAACAAGAGCAACCTGTCGATGCAGACGGGGATATCCCCATGGTATCGCTCACGCCTAAGGCACGTAAGGTGCTAATACATTGCGGAGACGGGTATACCGAAATCTCGCTGCTATGCATAGCTTATTTCATGTTTGCTGAGGGTGTGCCTGTGCACGAGGCGTGGTTGAGATTGCACTGCGAGAAGAAGAGGAATTTCTTCGCGTATCCGTCTGACGTCGCTTTCTTGACGAGCATCCAACAACGGTTATTACTCGAGAGCCCTGCTGCTTCAGCGGCTGCCGCTAATTCAAGTAGTTCTGGAAGCCGCCGTAGCAGCCGCACCAGCAGCATTATTCCAAAAACGATTGAGCCAGGCTGGGTGTCACGGATGGACGGGTCACTCCCCAGCCGTATCCTGCCATACATGTATTTGGGCAACTTGGCACACGCAAATAACCCAGAACTACTACGGGCACTTGGCATCAAGAGGATACTTAGCATTGGGGAGCCGGTTACCTGGCCGCAGTCAGAGATTGAGAAGTGGAGCGATGGGCTTAAAGAAGGGAATGGGTTGATGATGGTTAAAGACGTGCAGGATAATGGGATTGATGAGTTAACGGGTGAGTTTGAGAGGTGTTTGGGTTATATTGGTGAGTTTTTCTCTCTTATACATGTCTTTTGGGCCTGTTTAGTGTTAATGTGGTATCGTATGCAATAGAGCAGGGCAAAAAGGATGGATCTGCGACCTTGGTGCATTGTCGCGTTGGCGTTTCGAGATCGGCTACTATTTGCATCGCGGAGGTTATGGCGTCGAAGGGGTTGTCGTTTCCAAGGGCATAGTATGTTAACTCTTTCTGGCTTCTCAGTTTCCCTCTTAGCTCGCCGTACAAACACAGATTTTATCTAACACACTTTACTTTTCAACAGCTGCTTCGTGCGCGCCAGGCGTCTCAACGTCATTATCCAACCACACCTGCGATTTGTGTCAGTACAGCCCACTCCCGACTCCCCTTTCCCCCCAACCATTGCACCTCATCATATCTCTTCTCAAATCCATTAGTTCACCTGTTCATGTTTTGTCTATTCTTACCATACTTATGCCACCATACAGCTACGAGCTCCTAAAATGGGATGAAATCCTACAACAAAGACGCGACGAGCCCATCCGGCATGAGCTGGAATGGCACACCATCGCGCGGGAGATAGCCTTAATGAACAAACCGTACTCGAAACAGCAGTGATGATTTACCCTCTTTTAGTAAGTTCATATGCACGAGAGAATTACGAGCTCGCGGTTATTTTTACGAAGCCCTTTGGCACGGGTTTACGTCTACGTTTAACGGATATGGGATCATTTCTCAATCCTGTTGCTGCATCAGTCATATCGTCAGACGATTTGATATTTGATATTGATATTGGTGTTACATTGATTCACCAATCTTCCTTTTATATATATATATGTGTATACATCACGTACCCTCCTATATATATTGCAACTTCCTGCCTGTCGTGCTCTATATATTTATACACTGCACTATCATCTGCTTCTCTTTCCATGTCCGACCTCCCCTCTATCTTTTGCACTTTCTCTTGAACTTTACAATGTTCTTCTCTACTCAATCCACACTCAATCCATTTTGCTGCTATACGACTGGACGCTATGAACCCCACAACAACACCTTACTGCTCACGGCCAACTAATGGATCTTTGTATTATTTAACAATTTCGCCCCCCCCTCCCCCCCTACATTGTATGGTGTTTTTGTGGAACTATGTTCCTTTAAATTATTTTATATCCACTAATGGCTTTTTAACTTTACCCTTTGTCTCTCATATTTATTCAGCTGATTATATTATTTTTTCTCTTGTGCTATATTCTACTCGGTTTTATTTTCTTTTATTTATTCTCAAATTGATTGACGTTTTGATCTCAATATGACGTTTATTTCAATTTATTGTTTACTTATTTTTTCTTTAAATACTTATTCACTTATTCTGTTCTTCTCAGTATGAAAAGGTTAATTTTACCTGAGTAGCGCTCTAGAAAATTATTAAAGTTTCACTTTAAAGTTTATTGACATTTTTCTTCTCTCTTTTAAAATCAATTTATATTTTTTTAGCATAGATTGTATTATAATGAGATAAGATATAACTAAATGAAATCAATAAGACTTTGATAAAATATTTTAAAAAAGTGATCATGATATAAAATATTAGTATTATATATAAGAAAGAAGAAAAAATTTAAGTTTTCTATTTAATAATTTATAAAAACAAGTAAAAGAAATTATATAATAATGTTTTTTATCTGTGAATTTTCTCTTTAGTGAATTTAAATATCATATTTCATTAAACTAACTTTAAATATACTTTTAAATTTTGATTTAATTAAAAAAAGTTTTATTTAAAATACTTTGATCTGTAGATGGCTTACAAATATTTCTTTATTTCTATGTAATAATTTATATACAAATTTAATATAGTTAAATATTTAAATAACTGACTATAATCTTATTTTACATAATATTGTTTTTAATTAATATAGTTTTTTGTTTTTTTCAATATCTGTAATATTGATAATCCTGCTATTATATTAAAATATTTATGTTATGACTTCAATCTGGATGCAGATAAACCAGAGTTCAATTGTCAAGTAGAATAAGCTATTTCAATAAATTCTAAAATAATTTAAACAAGAGAAGTCTAGAGAAGAATTTTCCTACATTCTCATTTCTGTAGTGATTTCTAAACAGTTTCTATTATTTTTTTCAATTCAATGTTAGTTTCTGTAGCTCAGTTGACAATACCAGTACAGTTTTACTCTCTTATTGTTTTAATTTTAATATTTTTTAAAGTTTAAAACTATATTCTATAGTAAATTCTTATATCTTTCATTAAATTATATATCTTTTAATACTTTCTAGTTAAATTTAATTTAATATACCTACTATTGATAATTTATAAAAAATATATAATCTACTTTATCTGCTAAATTTTTTAAAATTTAAAAAATATATTTTATAGTAAATTTTTGCATTGTTTATAAAAGTTTATAACTTTTAATACTTTGCAGTTATTTCTAATTTAATATATCTACTATTGATAATTTATAAAAAATATAAACTTTACTTTATCTGCTATAATTTCTACTTATAAAAGAAATACATACTTAAATACTTTTTAATTATTATTAAAATATATGACTTCTGCTGTAATTTTATTACTAAATTTAAAACTTTAAAGTACTTCAATAATATTTTCATAGCATTTTTAAAATCTTCTTATAATAGTTTAATATTTTTATAAAATAGGTGTAAACATCTCAAATCTTAATTTTTTTAACTTTAAGACTATTTGAATTTTTAAGTAATAGTAAGTTCATTGAACTTTATTCCTCATAAAGTAATGATTTATTCAAATATAAAATCAAAGACTTTTATTATTATTTCATATTCTATAGTTATTATTTTTCATAATTAATCAAAAATTTTTTATTTCCAACAAATTCTCTTTTACAAAGATACGTACTTTTATTATTTTAAAATATATATATTAAACTTCTTTTCACTTGTAATATTATATAAAAACTAGAATACAATTTAATAAAGTGATTAAGTAGGTTTTATATTATAATAAGATTATTCACTATATATTATTTTATTACTTTTTAAATAAAGCCTAAAAATAACTATAAATATATGATAAAATATCTAGTTATATCTTTTTTATTTATAATAAATCTATCTTTATTACTTTCAAATATAAGTATAATTTTTTTAAGTTTTTACTACAATTATAGTTATTAACTTAATCTTATAACCTGAATGGCCTTCTCAATATTTTATTTATTTTATATAGTTAGATAGCTAAATGAGTGATTTATTATTAATTGATATATGTTAGGCTCCCGACCGAGCCCGACCGAGGCCCGGCGTCCGGTTAGACTCGACGTCGGATTAAGCTCGGCGCCCGATTAGGCCTAATCCTCATCACATGACCAAGCGACCATGCACCCTTTCATCCCATCAAGCTTAGTATTTCGTTATATAGCAGTTAGCAACGCAGAGAGAGTTTCCTTCTTATGCAGTTCGCATTCGCACCCTAACAATATAAATATTATCTCTATTTATATTTAAAATTCTCAACTATGTTTATCATTGAAAATTTTGTTGTAGAGCAAATGTGAGCTGTATAAGAAAGAATTCTTTGCATTACTAACTGCTATATAAATGAAATATGAAGCTTGATGAGAGAAGAAAGATGCTGAGATCTGCTCAGATTATAAACAATTCATAAAGTTATATAATGAGAATAAATCTAATCTCAACATTGCAATAACTGATTCTAACATTATATAAATTTAATTTTTTTTTTTTTACAGTTTAATAGCTTTATATTTATTGAAAATTTAATGTTAATATTAACTAATATAATGTAATTCCACACTGAGTGAAACATCTCAATGAGTAAGATATCAAAATTACTGTATTTCAACTAACTAGATTTTAATTTGAAATATTTACATCCACCACTCTCTAATTAAATTAAATTAAATTACACTAGATAGAGAGCATTTTGTTCTTTTATGATCAGATAAATTGTAATTGCTGCATTACTGTGATGCTTCTGAGTATGATTTAAACTCAGAGACTGTAGACTTAGAAGATTGAATGACAGACTGTTCAACAGATGCAGCAGATGAAATGATAAGATTTTGAGCTTTCTGTTTAGTGAGACTCTCTGTATGTTAAATCTGATATTTAGATTTAGTCTGCTTTTGTTTCTCTATCTCATTCATATTGAATATATTCTGATATTGCTTCTTTAGAATAGTGATGCTGACCATTTCATGTTTACAGATTTTGATAATTTGATTAAAGTCTTTCACAAAGTCTTGAAGCTGATCTTTTACTAAGTATTTGATCTTATTTGTCTGTCAGTATAATTGCTGGGAATTACTAGATGCTTGAAGCACTCAGAATATGATTGAATTGCTAGAACTACTATGTGAAGTAATAAAGATCTGAAGTTGAATATTCAACTGCTAAAAAATGTAGTCAGATTGAAAGAACACTATTCTAGTAGCTTTGAAGTTATTTTAAATAGTCTGCAGTTTGAAGACTTCAATGTGTACTGCAGAATAAGTCTCTAAGAAATTTATCTTTCAAATAGCATTAAATTCTAGTCATATTCACTGTTGAACTAGACTCTTATATGCTCACTTTAAGACAGCAAAAATGCTCACATCTAGTGATTATAAGAGATATGATAAATGAGATGGCATGCAAAGATATATAATAGTATTTTTCTTGCAGATTTGATTGAATTCTGAGATAAAATAACTGTCATACTCATTCAGAATAAGAAGACTATGAGTGTTAACTCTGCATGAATTTGCTGTGAAAATAAATAGTTTAATAAGTTATTTGATTTTTATCTCATCTGTAGTTTAATCATTAAAGCTAATATCAAGTTTCTAACTGTTTGAGAGTCTGTCAAATCAGTCTTTCTGTAGAATCTATTCTTTGAGAATGATATATAAAAATAGAGTTCATCTCAATATATTGACTGTCTTAATCATAGTCACTTATTCATAATTTCCAGACTATAGAAGCTTTGCTCAGTCATAGTACTCAGTACTAGTGATAATCTTAATAGTAACATAAAGCTTTATAACAAAGTCAGTCTCATCAAAGTGATATATATTCTCTGACAGAATCTCATACTCAGTAATTATTGTTGAGGAGCGAATGCGAGCTGCATAAGAAGGAAACTCTCTGCGTTGCTAACTGCTATATAACGAAATACTAAGCTTGATGGAATGAAAGGAGGTGCTGGGGCCTGCCCGGGTTATAACCACCCGCATGGTCGTTTGATCACGTGAGAATATTTGGCCTAACCGGGCGCCGAGCTTAATCCGACGTCGAGTCTAACCGGGCACCGAGCCTCGGTCGGGCTCGGTCGGGCGCTGAGCCTAACATCACCCCCCGGTCTAGAGACAGGCATGTCCTCATGCTGGTAGGTCGTCATCAACCTCGTCCTTCAGGTAGCTGTCTGTCTCCCATGCCTTCAGCCACTCATCTAGTCGCCTTGGGGGTCCGGCTTTTGTAGGGTTAGCTTCATGGAAGTCGCGTATGGCGTGTGGTGATCCTTTGAAGTCATGAGCTGGGTACCAAGATGAGTCCTCATCAAATCCCTTCCAGTGGACTTGATATTGCAGTTTGCCTCGATTTATTCGACT